CCGGTGAGTCTGCACATTGGTCAGCACTGGTTCAGGTGCACCCGCACGCACAGTCTAGGGTGATATGCAGGAATGGAGCAGGGGGCGATTCTGAGAAAGGTTTTAGAGGCTGAGCAGGAGTTCTCTCAGGACAAGTGGGGCTGCAGCCTATAGTAGTGTCATAATGTCCTTTGAGAACAGAAAGTGAGCCATTCCTGGGATGAGAAGGCCGCTTGGGGTAGGGGCAGGGTGAGGCAGAGTCGGGCCAGCAAGTGTTAACCTGCATTCCAAGACGTGCAGTCTTTTCGGGAGGCAGGACTTGTGACATGATGGGGTTGGCATTATAGAAAGGTCACTCCTGGGATAGTGCAGGTCGTTGTGAAGGGGCAGCCTGCAGAGGTGGCTAGAGCTTGGTCCCCTTATTGATGAGGGTTGAGGGAGGAGGAGGAGCTAAGGGCTTCTGCTGAGTGGACCTAGGTGCACCAGCTTGAGGGGGGCACCTGTGTGCAGCTTGAGACAGCTGATGCAGTAGTGGGGCCTCTCCCTGGTAGGAGGAGGTAATGTGGCCATGCCGGGGAATCTAGGGCATCTGGAGGTGAGGGCTGCAGAATCCATGTGTGTCTGGGCATGGAACGGCTGCTGAGCTTCCAAGGAGGGTGGGAGGACCAAGAAGTGGCCCCAGGCAGAGGAGAAGGAGAAGAACAGGAGAGGAAGGAGGTGGGCAGGGACCACCTTTGACCAGAGGGGTTTTGGGGAATGGCTGAGCGCTGAAGAGCAAGGCCTGAGCAGTTTGAAAAATGAGACAAGTGAGGATGGCAAAAAGTAAAGGGTAGGCTGACGGGGCAGGCTTGAGTGACGGGCTGCATCGTCCCAGAGAGCAGGTAGGAGCAAGAGACTGGACCCATGATGGAAGTTCACAGCAACAGGACACAGGTCTGTTGCTGGCAGGTTGCTGGGTCTGTGGAAGGTGCCCATTTAAACACCAGAACACAGCCTGGAGGGGATAGGTTGGGTGGGGGCTGTCCCCAGGTAGTCCCCATTGTTTTGGGGTGAAATATGTCCCCGCAAAATATATTTATCAGTCATTCTTACCTTCTTGCCCCTCACCTGAGAATGTGACTTTTTTCGGGAAGTTTTTGCAGATGTAATCAAGGTAAAATTAGATCATTAGCATGGGCCCTAATCCAAAATGACTGCTGTCCTTATAAGGAGATTTGGATAACAGACAGGGGTGAAGACGGCCAGGTAACAAGGGGGACAGAGGTGAGTGATGTATCCACAAGCCAAGGAAGGCCAAGGGTTGGCAGCAATGTCCAAAGCTAGAGCCTCCCAGAGCCTCCAGAGGGAGTGCAGCCCCACACACCTTGATCCCGGCTTCTGGCTCCAGAACTGGTCGAATGGATTTTTGGTGTTTAAAGCTGCCTGGCATGTGGTGCCTGGTTTCAGCGGCCTCCAGATACGAAGGCCCCCATGGTCCTGGGTGTTAGGAAGAAGCTGTCCATGGAGCAAGAGGAGCTTGCTGCAAAGAAGGGCTTGAGCAGCACAGCTGACGGAGAAGGGCACCCACAGAGGGAGTCCCCAGGAAGAATATCAGCCTGTGCAGGCCAGAGGTGGGCACTGCTCCCATAGGTTTCTGCTTCAGGGTCTCCCTGAGGATCTTTCGTCACAACTGTGGCATCAGACATTTTTCACATCACCTGGTCCTTGGCCATGGTGTTGGGTATATCGGGGAACCTGTTGAAGAAGCTGGTCCAGCTGTGCAGGTGCTGCCAGGCAGCATCTCATTGCTGCTGTTGTCACAGGAGGCCACCATGAGGAATGCTGTCACCTTCCCTGGGACTGAAGAGCTTGCAGTGCTGCCAACCTGGAGCCTGCTGTCTGCTCCTTCCCACAGACATCCTTGTAGGGTTAGGTGTCTGCAGGGCCAGTGTCACAGGCTCAGCACCTTCCCGCTTCACATTCCAGAGCAACAGTTGGAATCGGGGGGCTGTAGAGAGGGGCAGCGCTGGGCTCCTGGTCTGCGTGAGGGGCCAATGGCACCCCTGAGTGTTCACCACCTTTCCAGATAAGACCTTCAAAGTCCTGAACACCTTCATGTGAATAGCTTTGCAGGGGGGCAGGGCCTGGGTGTTTCCCCACTGCTCCTAGTGACAGGACTGGTTCTTCAGGTGACTTGGCAGCCTGACCCTGATGCTCCACGGTTAGAGGCCCTCCAGCACTCTCTCTGGCCAATGGAGCATGGTCCTCAACTCACTCTGTGGTTCCCAGCAGGGTTGGGTTGGGGTCATGTTCATAGGCAGCAGTGATGAAACAAAGAGGCAGGCCCTGGGCCTCACCAGGCAGGGCTGCTCCCTCATGTCCCAGAAGCAGGCCCTCCCCATTTGCCTGCCTTTGTGCACACCGGGCCTCACACCAAGGAGGCCAGAGCCAATGGCTCACAGATGTGCAAGCCTAGCACCGAGCATCAGCGAGGAGCCCATCTTGTGGTCAGCCCACGTGATCCCCACCAGGGCTGAGTGGGGAAGGGACAGCGCAGCCGGGGGTCCCTGTTGGGCCTGTACCCCAAGTCTGCTTTACATACGTCCTGTAGCCAGCTCTCCACGAATCTGCACGTGCTGGGGACTTAATGTTCTTTGGAAGTCACACGTCTCTTGTCCTACGTTTTATGCCGATACAGTAAATGTGTCTCATTTCAAAAGGCAGCAGCACCCCACGGCACAGGTGGGTTCCTCTGTTTCCCTAGCTGCTCTTTCGTCTCCTTCCTTGGCTTAGCCTTCGCCTGACTCTTGGATTCGAATGCAGTCGTTTAAAACACTAGCCCAGCTACTCCTTGCAGCCTAGGCCCTGCTGCTTCCTGGCATGACCCTGTGCAGGAGACATGGCTGTCCCTCTGATGCGGCCGGGAGCCTGGGCCGAGCCAAGTGTAGGATGTGGTCAGAGCTGAGCAGTGGCCTCTCTCCCAGGGCAGCTCTGAGTTGATGTTGCTCATCAGACATGATCCAGGGACTCTGTGACACTTGGAACCAGGCAGCCTGGGCAGGGCAGAGGCAGGAGGCTCTAGAAGCCCATCTTTCTAACCCAGAGCAGCAGGTCTGACCGGGGTCTCCGTAGTGCATCCCCTGGGCTGTGCAGAGATGTTTGTCCCAGGAGTTGGGGGCAGGGTGACTTTGTGGCTTCTTAAAATGGGACTTGGTACATCTGACCAGGCATCATGGGAGACTGAACTAATAGGGGAGACAGGGCTCAGCCATACAGGAGAGGCCCACCTGCTTCTGGGAGGGGGTACTGTGGGAGGGCAGAGTGGGCCCCCAGAGGTGGGGTGTGAAAGGCACTGATTGGCAGAACCGCGCTGTGACTTCAGTGTCACCAAGCATGCCTGACTTTGAGTTGGGAAGGTGGCACAGGCCCATGAGGTGTGTCCCAGGAGCTCTTGCATTCCCTTCCCTGATTCTGTGTGACTTCGGGAACTTATGGGATGGGTTCTGGCTTTGGAGGCTGGCTGGCCTGACCGCAGCTGCCCCAAGGCTGCTTCCTGCTCTGTTCCAGGTTGGCGAAAGTTTTGGGAGGTGGGGGGCCAGCTCTCAGAGGCCTGTGTGTTTCTGTTCCCCTGTTCCTTTAATAGACATGCCTGGGCCACCCTGGGGTCCCTGGTGGAACAGGGTGGAAATGGAACCCTGTTCACTGTTTGAAGGAAGAACAAGATGCAGGTCTCCCTGTCATGACCCCAGTGTGGAGGTCAGCATCCCCATGTCAGCATACAGCACGAGTATGACCTTATGCCATTGTCTGTGAGCTAATTTCCCATGAACGGCACTCTCATGGAAATTTTTTTTTTACTGGTCAAGTATGTTTACTTGGTCAAATGTCATGCAGTGATTAGAAATCTAAACGTAGGAGAAACAGCATTTCGGCGAGGCCATGCTGCGGGGGCCACATGTGGGATGCCAAGATGCTCTGGTTCTGGAGGAGGAGAGAGCAAGTCTAACTGGGAGACTGGCGGGGGGCCCATTCCCGGCCCCCATCTCTGAGGCCGGGGGTCTCTCCCTCCCCAGAGAGCCAGGCCTTCTCTTCATTGTGGCTCTGCATGTTCATGAGTGCTAACTCGACGTCTTTCTGGTTGGATAGGCTCTGCCTTAGATCTCCACCTTAGTGATGTAAGCCTCGCCCCGCTGGATAAGGAGCTGGATGAACAGGACAGCAGTGATCTGGGACCCACAGGTAAGAGCACTGGCACCTGGAGCTCTTGTCAGGGCGGCCGGGACAGCTGGACCTTTCAAGAATCTCCCCCGCGCCTCAGGTTCCTGCAGCCTGGGCAGGGTCAGCCTCCCACTCCCTCACTTTACCTCCATCTGAGCAAAGGGGGCCCTGCAGAAATGGAGTAGGGGTGGGATGGGGGACAGGGACGGCCGGCTTTCATGGTTTTCTAGATGTTTTAACTACTACGTTGACATAAAGATGAATATGTTAACATATATCAAATCATTTTATTTGACTAAAAGTTCATCTTTTTCTTCTGATGTTAAAAGAAATGAAACCATTTATGCGGGTTCTAAAATTACTGGGACCACCATGCTCGGGGTAGGTCAGTGGGCGGGGCCTTGTGGGTGTCTGGCCTCTGCAGGACCCCACTGAACCCCTTTGCTCTCTGTGCATTCGATACTTGTCTGAGCGGTGAGGGCGGTGGCCACATCTCACCCTGGGGGGAGCTCTGGCTCTGCATCTTCACGTGGTGGCTGCACGCCTGGGCCCCCTAGCAGCCACCCCTCTTTGTCCCCCTGCAGGTCAGAGGTTGCCTGGGGGCTCGGCACCCGTCACCATCCCGGGCTGCCTGGCCCGCTCCCCATCCCTGCACTCCTCGTCGTCCCTGTCCACCTCCCCACTCAGTTCTCTCTCCCAGTCCCTGTCGGGGCCACTCGTCTCCTCGGCCATGACGCCCCCCCAGCAGCCGCCACCCCTCAAGTCGGAGCCCAGGATGCTGGGCTCCTCAGCCTCGTCCTACAACTCCCTAGGTGAGCCAGGGTTCGCGGGGAGGGCCACTCTATAGTGACGGTTTGCAGTTGAATAAACTAAGGCTGTCCCATGCTGCCCTGCACACTCCCTGTGGTGTGAGCCTTGGCACTTACCTCAGGCCAACCCGTGTCCCATGTGTCTGCTGGTTCGTTGAAGGTGCCGTGGGTTCTAGATGGGGTGTTGCATGCCAGCCTCTATTGCGGTTTCAGTGTGTCCAGGATCCTGAGACACAGTCATGACAACACTGCGAAGTGACCTACCTTTCTCACTTATACATGCATTGGGATTTCTGAGGCTGCAGAGGCGCAGCGTCGCCAGAGACCCAGTGCAGGAGCAGACAGATTTGTGAAAACAGAAAACAGCGCCATTTCTTGTTTTACATTATTTTTTCATTGAAAAATGTTACTTATATAATCTGTTATACTTTAAAAGAATATTTTAAAATATCTGTTTAATTCCTAAACGGTCATGCACCGTATGACAACTTATTGGTCAGTGATAGACTGTGTGTACAATGGCGATCCCATAAGATAATAATGGAGCCGAATTTTCTGTGAGAAATGGAAATGGTACGTGGTTCGGGTGGAATTTTTATCTCCGATGGGAGCAATATCTGTGGGACTTGGCAAATAGATTCCCTCTCACTCACAGCACTTCAATTTTGAATACACAGATGACATCTCATTCAGTCAGCCACTGAACTGTTTCAGCACAGAGGAGCCTGTCCCCACAGTGCTACATATTCAGAGGGCACTGTAGCCATCCCAGATCTAACTCGATGGTCTCCATAGTACACTGCTGTAAATTCTTTGTTGAGGAGCTAAGGTCCTGTGCAAGGACACAGTTCCACAGGAGCAACTTTAGTAAGTATTAAGTGCCACTGCGACTTTAGAAGAAGCTTTCTGTGGTAATGTGGAGCCAGCCTGTCCCTGTAGTTGGGAAATATTTTCAGGTTTAATGATGTAAAGCGTAAGTAAGGTTTTTCTCTTCCATTAATTTAATGCCAGAGAGAGCCTTTTCTGCCAGATGTATCAGTGGAGTCAGAAATAAATTTCCAAAGTCAAAATATTGATTCCTCAGTTTTATAACCTCTCTGTGTTAAACACCTTTTATTTTTAATGAATACCACAAAGTTCCTTGACCCAGCCACTGCTCCAACATGCTGTAGCCAAAACCACATTTCCACGACAATCCCCTATGTTCCTTTATCTCTCCATCTTGATTTATTATTCCTACTGATCCTCAGGCCACTTTTCACTCCTTCCTGACAGTCACTATTACGGTGATCTGTGTTTTCCCGGCCAGTCCACCCCACATCTCTGTTCACGGAGCATTTCAGACGCTGTTAGAAGGAAGCAGTGGGGAGGGTTTGGGGACAGTGCTTATTGAGCCTCTAGTCGTGTACAGTAATGTCTTAGGCCTGAAGGGACTCACCACTTACTGACTCACCCAGAGCAACTCCCAGGCCTGCAAGCTCCATTCATGGTAAGTACCCTATACAGGTGTACGGTTTTTTACATATTTTATACAGTATTTTTATGAACATTTTCTGTATTTAGATAGACAAATACCATGTGTTAACAACTGCCTGCAGTATTCAGTACAGTAATATGCTGTATAGGTTTGTGGCCTAGGAGCAATAGGCTACACCATAGAGCCCAGGTGTGTAGCAGGCTAGACCATCTAGGTCTGTGTAAGTGCACTCTGTGATGTTTACACAATAACAGAATTACCTAATGATTGATGCATTGCTCAAAGTATCTCTTGTTAAGTGCCACGTGACTCTGTATATCAACAGGTGTCACCCAGGTAAACAAAAGCTCTTTGGGGGTCTCAGGATTCCACAAGTGTAAAGAGTTCCTGGGACCAGAGTTTGAGAACTGCTACACCACACGATGCAGTCACAGAAACTTTGAATTTATTTACTGTTCTGTTTAAATCTTGGTCAGAAGATCAGGGACAATGGCCTTGTCAGTGGAGCCCCAGAGGTCCCAGAGCCTGCTCAGAAGACGTCTGTGATGTCTCGGCGCACCTGGGGCTGACATCTCCTGTCTCCTCCTCACTCAGGTTTGACCAGCGTTCCTGGGAGCATCTGGGACTTTGTTTCCGGCAGCTTCTCTCCCAGCCCATCCCCCATTCTGAATGCCGGCCCCACATCCTCTGCAAGCGCAAGTCCAAACAGTGCGGAGCTGGCACGGGTCAGGCGGCAGCTGGATGAGGCCAAGAGGAAGATCAGGCAGTGGGAGGAGTCCTGGCAGCAGGTGAAGCAGGTAAGCACTGAGGTGGGGACGTGGGTGCAGGCCAAACTGATGTGCATGCAGGGTACCCCCTCCCCCACGCTGGCCACTGCAGCCCCGTGGGTTTCAGGCCTGTGACGCATGGCAGCGGGAGGCCAAGGAGGCAAAGGAGCGTGCGCTGGCGGCCGACAGCGCCCGGCAGCTGGCCCTGCAGAAGAAGGAAGAGGTGGAGGCCCAGTTCAGGCAGCTGCAGGAAGAGCTGGAGAGCCGGGGCATGTCCACACTCCCCGGGCTGAGGGGCTGCGGCGACATTGGCACCATCCCGCTTCCCAAACTGCATTCGCTGCAGAGTCAGCTGCGCCTGGACTTGGAGGCCGTGGATGGGGTGAGTCCTTGTTTGTTTCCGAGGTACCAGCTGTCTGTCTTGGCCCAGTGTGTGGGGAGAGCGGGGAGAGGATGACGGCCGGGACCAGGCCTGGCGCTGCTGCTTCCCCCGTGTGGTCTGTCCTGCCCCAGGTCCTTAGGTGGCCGCTCATGTTCTACTTCAGGGAGTATGTGTACCACTTCTCTTGCCAGGCTGGCCCTGCACTTCCTTTCCGGAACCTTCCCCATTTGCCGGCTGTGCCCTCATGGACAGGGTGGATGCCCCTCTCACCCCACACCATTGGAACCATGGTGTATGCCTGGGGCATGTGACTGAGGTCACCCTCCAGGGTCACTGGTTACTTCTTGCCTGATTTCATTGTTTGTTCTGCTGTAGTATAAAACCCATTGCCCTCAGTTCAGGTAGAAACTCCTTTCACACCAGGGTGTTTTTGTTAGAGCATCTGGAAGTTTCCATGGCTCTGCCTCATCACACATGCCCTCTCTGCTGCCTGTGGCCAAGGTCCAGCTGCAATGCACATACCTGGCCGCTTCCCCTTCAAGTAGCCATCTCCCGGCTGTGGCTGTTCGCTCAGCCAGAGGCTGAGTGTCGAATCAAGGTCATGCTAACCCCAAATCCTGGCAGCCACCAGCCACAGGTCATAGGCCTCTATCCTGGCCCTCTCTATGTCTGTGTGGTAGCTTGGCCCTGGGAGCCAGTTCTCTGCTTAAGGGTCTTATAGAGAAACAGCTTCCACCCCCATCTTTGTATTCCCCAGGTGGCCCCTGGCACGGATGTCCCACCCCAGCCCTGAGCCATATTGCGGTAGCCAGGGGACCATCGTCCTCGAGGGTTCTCACACTGCCTCTGGGAAGGCGGGGGGCTGGTGGTAGGGCAGGTCCTCCCATGACGCCCCCAACTCATCTTGCCCACAGGTGATCTTCCAGCTCCGAGCGAAGCAGTGTGTGGTGTGCGGGGAACGGGCCCGTGGCACCGTCCTGCGGCCCTGCCAGCACCGCGTGCTCTGCGAGCCCTGTGCCGCCAGCGCACCTGAGTGCCCTTACTGCGAGGGCCAGCCCCTCCAGTGGTGACAGTGGCCACAGTGGCCTCACTTCCTGGTGCCACCGACGTCGGGACCCTGGCCTTGAGCTGCACCCACGGTTTCATGGTATTCTCTTCACAGACCTTAACGGCAAACCCACAGCACGCCCACGCCTACCACGCAGGGTCTGGGCAGGCACAGTAATTACATAGGGTTTGCGGTCCTGACACTACTGTGACCACATCCTGGGAGTTCGGGTCCCGGCCAAGCACTTTGTAAGCTGAAGAATTTAAATGGATGGTCTAAGTTGCTATAAGCTGCTTTCTAGGTTCATGTTTTTTTTTTAATATGCGATAATATGAAGCTTTATATGTGTACTGTGAACTTAAAATATTTCCTATCAGTTTATTGTTAATTCATATAGTATGGTAAATATGAGATTTCATATTCTGAAATTAGTACTTATGAAATGAGCATTTATCTAGTAGTGAGAAATGCCTAGGATTTTTACAAGTTTCAAATTAAGTGCAGACAAATAGTATTTATAGCAGAGTGATTATTGAAAGACATACATTTAGAAGTTTTTAATTTTATGAAAGGAACTCTTCCTAAACACGTGCATGCGCACACTAATTAGAGTTTTATATCCCAACGTCGTGACATGAGGGAGCTCGATCACACATCTATGACCCGTGGCCACTTTTTCTAAGTGCCTGTGCCTTGCAAAAGAAGTGAGGGAAACAGTTCATTCAGTTTTCTTCCTTGAAACTTTGTAAGACAATTTGATACTAGTGAAAAGTGCAGCCAAGGGGGTACATTAATTTTACAGAGCCTTGTTCTGGACGGGCAGTAGTGCTCCCTACCTTCCTGGAGCTGGCTGCCCAGTGTCCCAGCTGGCCCAAGGTCACTCCCCACACCTGGGACCACCAGGACTCCTGCCCATGTGGGACAGGCTTGCCAAACTTTGGCATGTCCAGACTTCAGGGTGACACTGTCGCCTGATATGTCCAGGTATTATCAGTCAGCCATGAGACTATAGGTTGAGGACGTGGCCGCCATGCCGGAGGACCTGGCTCTACCATGGGTCCCTTGGCCCTTCAGCGGCAGCCTAGCTTCAGGACCACAGCAGAAACACTCCTGAGAGCGGGTCTAATTTTAGTGATGACGAGAATCTCCTCTGGTCTGCAATGGGTCATTTTGCCTAGAAATCTGAAAAGTGAGATGGCTGTAATTTACCCAAATTCTGCTCTCAGCAAAGCAGGTCTAAACGGCCGTGAGAAAATCTTTCCAGAACCTGCCGCTGGGAGTGGGAGCAGGTACTAGCCTTCTGGCCTGGAAGTGAACGCTGATGCATTTCTACTCGCCTGGGGCTTTGCCAAAGACTTTTAATAGCATTTTTTAAAGTGCGAAGTGACTAGGTAAAAATTTTTATCAGTGACCAAATTAGAATGTATTTACTATAGTAAGTTTAAAACATTTTTAATGTAAGACAAAATGATTGAAAAGTTGTCATTTTAAAGGTGGATCCATGACATTCCGCAGCTAGTCCGCTACTAAAGGTAACTATTTACTTGGTTTTAGTGAATCTATTTGTTTTTAAATATAGTGATAATGATTTATTAGCTCTTAGAAATTACGTATATTTTGTGCTACTGTTATCACTGTTTAAGACTATTTTTATTAATATTTATGCACTTGTTTCCCATTTCGGGCCTTTAGCCTTTTTTGGGATAACAGGACTGTGTTTATGACTGATATCTAGCCTAGACATTTTCAAATTATAAACAAGAACAATTAAGCTTTAGGTCTATTTATAAGCTACTCCAGTCAGTTCTGTGGAATTTGGGGGACTGGAGGTGCAGTGCTTACAGGTGCCCCACAGCCGGGGCTGGGGGCACAGCCCTGAGCACTTGCCCTTCTCAGGTCAGGACTGGCTCTGAGGACAGGTATGTGATGGGAAGACCAAAGAACCACCCAGAGCAGAACTCGCCAGGTGCCCAGGCGCTTAGGGCCATCACTGCGGCATGCTCCGGGGGGCTGCTCCTTGAGGTCCTCCCCACCCTTGCAGTGGCCCTGGTCTTCTGAGGGAGCTGCCCTGTGCAGGCTTCACAGGCTGAGCTGGTGATTGGCTCAGCCTCTCAGGGCTTCACCGTCCCATCTGTGGGTAAGGAGCAAAGGGTGTGCTGGGTGTAGCAACAGAAGCCGTGTGGTGCTTGGTGTCCTCTCCCAGCTCTCCTGTTCAACATTAATGGTAATATCGTCACACCATTCATGTAACTGGTCAGCAGACTTCAATTCAGTGTGGATGCTTTATGTGCATTAATTTATGGAAACCCCCAATCCGTATGTATGTTTTGAATATTTAGATGAGAATGTTATTGGAATGGAATTTTCTTAACCCAGAAGGTAGTATTTATAATGCATAATCATTTACTTGTAGTGAATTGTTTAAAGTTAACTCCTGTTTAAATTTTTTTACACTATAGCATTTATGCAATGGTTTACAGAATTCATGGAATTATTTTTATCAGTATGGGAATTAAAACTTTGAATCTTTATTTGTCTGCATCTTTGAGCACAACCCTGACAGCTGCTAGCCCAGAAGGCACAGCTTTTCCCAAGACTTCTTGCTCTGCACCATGGTCCTGGCCTGTTGTTCCTCTTTTCTGCTATAAGATGACAGTCTGGTTGTCTCCAGCCCAGTCTCAGATTCTCACAAGGTGTCTCCACGCAACCCCAAGTCACCTCGTAGCTGCTCTGTTGTCCTGTGTGTGGGTGTCTTGGGGCCCAAGTGTTCAGAGCTGGAAGTTTCTGCCAAAACACCAAGAGGTGACAGGTCAGGACCTCGTTCATAGGCAGCAGGTCCTAAGGTGGGCTTGGCCTCTTGACCAGACATGACTTACCTGCAGGCTTGGTATAGGAGATGCCATGCTGGGTCAGCATACTTTTAAGTCTTTTAATCTCCTTTGACAGTTCCTTATGTGCCTGGAACAGAAGAGTTCGAACAGAAAGTCAGGCCCCTTGGCAGGAGGCCGTCAGTGTCCCGGGAACTCAGCCTCCTCCCACTAATCTGTACCTTACTGCAGCTCTCCAAGGTCTCAAACTCCAGGCCCTGAGTACCTCCTTCCTGCTGTGCAGAGTCATTTTCTCCTAGGGCCTTTAAATAGCCAGCATCCTCAAAAAGTGCCCTGAGCAACTTCTCATAGCCCTGAAGGTCAAGGAAGGAGAGAGAACACCCAGCTTGTGGCTGTGCTGCACCCAGCCAGGGGGGATGCCTGCCCCGGCAACTCACCTGGGAAGTGATCAGTTCATCAGCTAGGTCCTGCTCCACCTGGTCCCACCGCTGCTGCAGGGCCGTGGGCAAGGCTGGGTACACTAAAATCCAGCAGGAACCAGATTTAGCTGAGCCCCTTTGCCCCCCATTTCCCAACCCCTACTGGTCTCAGCCTCCTACCTAACAAGGAATGGGGATGGCAGACAAGGGGTGTCTCGAACGTCAGCGCATAGACACAGGTGCTTGGCTCAGACACACGAGCCAATCGGTTGCTTTTTCCACAGGTAAGCTCCACCTGGGAGGGAAACCTTGGTTGGTTGGTGAGTGGGTGGAGGAAGCCAGGGGCCCCCTCCCACATGGCCCCACCTTGCTCTGCCGGCTCCGAGAACGGCAGGAATCACCATCTTTCATCCACATGCCCCTGAAGGTGTTGTTGGCGATTTCCCACTCGTGCCAGATGCTGGAGAGGAGCAGAGTGTGAGGCTAGGTTGGGGGGTAACACCCCAAGGAACCCATAGCCACCTACCCTTCTCCAGCTCACCCCAGGATCCCACTGTAGGCATTCCAGCGGAAGGTCTGCTCATGCTGGGTCACGTTGTGGAAGGGGCAGAACTCGTACTTGTACCTGGGGGTTACGACTGCCGTCAGAGGTGTCCCATACTCCACCCCTACCACCCCTCCCCTGACTCACGTGGACTCCACCAGGCTGAAGCACTTGCCAGAAAGTCTGAAGAGATGTGCGGGCCCTAGAAGAGAATGTGAACGCTGAGTCCAGTGCAAGAGCAACAACCCACAGAATGGGGGCCCTTCAAGAAAGTCAGGTTGTTTGAATCTTTAAAACGGAACACGAAATCTTGAGTGAAGTTCCAAGCTCGTTTCCCTGTGAAACATCTAAAGAGGAGTTCTGGAAAACGTCTGAGCAACCATGTGGACACCAAGAACAAAAACACCTTCAAGTTTGTACCACAAGGCCGTGGCATTTTCTCTTGCCCTGGGCCACCGCTCCCCAGTGTGGTCAGGAGGAACAGGCAGACCTTACCCGCAACACTGCAACCTGGCTGGGGGCTGCCAGAACTGGTCTGTTTTGCCTCAGATCTCAGGTGCAGAAAATGGGCACTGCTTGTGAAAGCTACCGGGAGCCTAGAGACTCAGAATTTGGGGCAAGAGATTAGACAAACAACAGACCATGTAAGGCCCTGGGGAGAAGCTGGGGTGAGATTCTAGGAAATATACAAACTGGCAGAGGTGTCTGTTTTTTCAAAGGTCCAGTTTTCAATAAAAAATTGCAAGACGTAAAAAAAAAAAAAAAAACAGGAAAACATGGCCTATTCAAAGTAAAAAGCTGACAGAGCCACCCCAGGAGAAGCCTGAATATGGGCCTTACTAAAGACTTTTAAACAACTACCTTAAATATGCTCCCAGAACTAAAGGAAAACACAAAACTATCAGGAAAACGATATGTGATCAAAAATGTAAAAATTATAGAAATGAACCAAATAAAATCTGGAGCTGAAAAATACAACTGAAATGAAAAATCATGCAAACACTTCAACAGATTTAAGCGGACAGAAAAATCAGTGAACAGAGCCTAAGGGACCCATGGGACCCATTCGGAGTCCTTGAGAGAAAGGGAAAGGGGCAGATTATTTGAGGATGCTATTGTTAAGAACTTCCCAATTTCATACAAATCCAAGAAGCTCCAAGTATGATGAACTCAGACCCATACCAAGGCACAAGAGACAAGTGTCAAAAACCAAGTCTTGAAGGCAGCAAGAAGTAACTCATCCTCAATAAGCTGATTTCTCTGCAGAAACCTTGGAAGCCAGAAAGCAGTGAGATGAAAAAAGAAAATGTCTACCTAGGATTCTTTATCCAAGAAAAATATTCTCCAAAAATGAGGTAAAAAAAAGATGAGGGAGTTCACTGTCAATATACCTGCTGTACAAGAAATGCTGAAGGGAGTCCTTCAAATCAAAAAGACAGTAAAGGTAAATACATGGGCAAATTACAAAGCCGGCATTGTAATTCTCACTTGTAAATATATAGAACTTAAAAGATGGATGCATGCAAAAAAATAAATCTATGTTAGCGGGTGCACGATACAGGTAATTTGTGAAAAATGTAGAAACAGTGCTGATATGGGACTGAAAAGCTGGTATAAATTCAAATTCGACTTTAATAACTTTAGTATGTTATGTAATCCCCATGGTAACCACTGAGAAAATAGCTATACACAAAATATACACAAAAGATGAGGTAATCAAACATGTCACACAGAATAAGTCAACAAAAACTAATGGAGGGAATGAGAGACAAGCTACAAGACAAATTTGCCCTTTTGCTTCCTCTAAGTCTTTACTTATCAATATGGACATCTCATCTCATTGCATTTCATTGCATTTTACAGATACTATGTTTTCATCAACACTGAGGCAAGCCCCTCCACCAGAAAAAGATTGACTCATTGAAGGCTCAGATGATGGTTATTTTTAGCAATAATTTATTTTTTAGATAAGATATTGTTATATTGTTTTGTAAATATGATGCTATACTGCATACTTACTACACTACAGTAAACATAAGTTTTACACACACTGAGAAACAACATAATTTGAGTGACTCACTTTATTGCACACTGGTCTGCAACCAAACCCCACAGCATCTCCTAGGTATGCCTACAGTTACTTTAAATGTAAATGGATTAAACTCCCTGTTCAAAAGGCATAGATTAAACTGTATACTGCTTATGAGAGACTCAATTTAGACCTAAAGACACAAGCAGTTTGAAAGTGAAAGGATGGAACAAAGATCTCTCATGCAACTATTAACCCAAGAGAGCTGGGGTGGCTACAGTAATATCGGACAAAATAGACTAAGTCAAAAACTGTTAAGAGACAAAGGACATATACTGATAAAAGGGACTTATTCACCAAGATGATAACAATTATATGTACACCAAAATCAGAGCTTTAAAATACATGTAGCAAACACTGACAGAATTGAAGAGAGAAACACTGTAGTAATAAAGGGTTCCTCAACCCTAGGCCGCCCCTGGCACCAGTCAGTGGCCTGTTAGGAACTGGGCCACAGCAAGTAAGTGGTGAGTGAGCAAGGGAAGCTTCATCTGTATTTGCTGCCGCTCCCCAGTGCTAGCATCACCACCTCAGCTCCACCTCAGATCAGGCATTAGATTCTCTTGGGAGCACCGGTCTCCGATGCCAAAAAGGCTGGGGACTGCTGCAGTACTACAATGCTCGGACACATCAATACCCTGCTTCTAAGGAAAAGGACTTGAAAGGACTTAAACCAAATGGACCCAACAGACATATGCAGAACACCCCACCCAACAACAGCAGAATACACACACACACACACACACACACTCTCTAGGATAGGCCATACATTAGACCATATTTTTTAAATCTATTAGTTCTTAATAGACTTAAGACTGAAATCATATAGTTTCTTTTCTGATTACAATGAAACCAGAAACCAATAGCAGCAAAAATAAGAATTTCATAAATCCACATAAACGACCATGGGGTCAAAGAAGTCACAGGGGAAATGAGTAAATATTTGGGAGACAAAAATGAAAACACAAGGTATCAAAACTTATGGGATATAGTGAAAGCAATGCTAAGAGAGCAATTTATAGCTGTAAAGACATTCAAAAATCTCAAGTCAATAACCTAACTTACACCTTAAGGACATAGAAAAAGAGCATACTAAACCCAAAACTCAGAAAGGAAATAATCAGTAGAACCAAAAGTTCTTTGAGAAGATCAATATCAACAAACTTCATTAGACTGACTAGGAAAAAAAGATGACTCAAATTACTAAAATCTGAAATGAAAGTAGAGACATTACTACCAATTTTACAGAAAAAGGATTATAAGAATGCTATGAACAACTATACACCAACAAATTAATAACCTAGATGAACTGGACAAATTTCTAGAAACACAAACCTACAAATTCTTCTCAAACTCTTCCAAAAAACAAGAGGGGGGACACTTCCTAACCAATTTTTATGAGGCGACATTACCCTTACACCAAAGCCAGAAAGACACACTATGAGAAAACTAGAGACCAACATCCCTTATGAACATTAATGCAAAACCCTCAGCAAAATATTACAGCAAACTAAATTCAACAGCACATTAAATGGATTCTACACAATGACCGAGTGGTAGATTTTTTGTATTTTGGAATGTATTTTCGTATTCCTAAAATGTAAGAACGGTCCAAAATACAAAAATCAAGCAATGTAATACAGCCAACTAATAGAAAGAAGGTGGGAGTCACAAGATCATCTCAATTGTTGGAAAAGAAAGCACTTGACAAAACTCAACACTCGAATTTCATGGTAAAAACACTCAACAAATGAGAAGGAGACTTCCTCAACACAATAACCCATGTGGGCGTCTATACACAACCCACAGCTAACATCATACTCAATAATAAAAGACTGAAAGTTTTCTCCCTAAGATCAGAGACAAAGCAAAGATGTTCTGAGCACTGCCAGTAACTATTCAACATCATACTGGAAGTTCTAGCCCGAATTAGGCAAAAAAAGAAAAGGCAAATGGATTAATCTGCCAAATTGGAGAGGAAGAAGTAAAATTATTTAGTCATGATTGCATATGACATGATCATACATGTAGAAAACCCTACAAAAATCCACAAAAATCTACTAGAGTTAATAAGTTCAGCAAAGTTGTAGGATATAAAATTGACGATCAGAAACCAATTTTATTTCTACAGACTAATAATGAACAATCCAAACAATTCCATTTACAATAACATCAAAAAAGAAAAAAATTTAGGAACACATTTAACCAAGGAGGCAAAACACTTGTGCACTGAAAATTACAAGATACTGCTAAAAAAAATGAAAGACACACATAAATGGAAAGATATCCTGTGTTCATGGATAGGAAGATTTAAAATGAAGATGTCAATACTACTCCCAGCTGACCTACTGATCCAACGCAATCCATATCAAAATCCCAATGACATTTTTTTTTCCCAGAAATAGAAAAACCCATCCAAAAATTAAAATGAAGTCTCAAGGAACCTCAAATAGCCAAAACTACCTTGAAAAAGAACAAAGTTGGAGGACTCACAATTTGTGACTTCAAAGCTACTGTAATTAAAACTGTGGCACTGGCATAAAGACAAATGTGTAGACCAATGGCTAGCAAAGAGCCCAGAAATAAAATCTTGACTATACATTCAAATGATTTGACAAGACTATTCAATGTGGGGAAAGGACAGTCTTTCAATAAATGGTGCTGGGAAATGGGACATCCATACACAGACGAATGAAGCTGGACCATTGTTTTACACAACATACAAAAATTAACTCAAAATGGATCAGAGACCAAAACTATAAAACTCTTAGATAACATAGGGTAAAATCTTTATGACATAGGCTTTGATAATGATGTCTTGGAAAAGACATCAAAGGCAAAGGCACCAATAGAAAAAAATAGATAAACTGGACTCCAAAATTAGAAACTTCTATGCATCAAAGAATACTATCAAAAGAGTGGAAAGACAACGCCCAGAAAGTGAGAAAATATTTGCAAATCACGTCTCTAATGAGGGTAATGCCAAAATATATAAAGAACTCCTCCTATACAACAAAACCCCCAAGTAACCCAATTAAAAAATGGAAAGGGATACACTAGACATTTCTCTGAAGAAGCTATACAAATAGCCCATAAGCTCAATATCACCGGTC